CCAATTTACGGAATCCTAATCCGATTTTTCTATGATTTGATATTAATTTTCTAAACCTTACCTAAAATAGCAAAAACGAACTTTTGGGAGTCTAAACGACCTTGGATTGCTGAAATTTGACGCGATTCATGAGCTTTGCTCATGAGTTTTGTTCCTTACGCCGTTTTACTTGAGATAAAGTTCGTTTCATACTCAACTACGATTTAAGTACGTCGAAAACCCTTATTTTCCCATAATTTCTTTCGATATTTCCACCAATGCCCATTAATAACTCTTCTCCGAATTAAATAGTTATTTTGCAACACGAATCCAATTTGACGTTCCTTATCAATCTCCTCTTCTTCAAAAGAGCTCGACCTCGAGCTATGATCAAAATATAGCGATGCATATTTCTTTGCAAACAACTTCAAGTGCTCCACCAATATTTCCGGCACAAAAATCTCGCTTACAAAATCTTCTTCCAAACGAGGCATTGGTAAAATTAACTTCTTAATAGAAAATCCCAATGGCTCCACCAATTTCTCCGATACAAGAACTTCACAGCAAACACTATATACAATTAGATCACATACCTCAACGCAATCCACTTGTACCTTCTCTTCTCGTGCACCTTCCTCTTCTTGAACAAATTCTACCACTTCAAACTTTTCCTCAAATTTACTTTTAACACCCTCATTAAACTCATCGACTTCTTCTTCAAGCTTGCTAACATTGTCTTCTACCCCATTGTCGCTCTCTTCAACTTTGTTGATGCTCGCTTCAAACTCGTTGTCTGTCCCTTCAACTTCGTCGATGTTCACTTTGATTTCGTTAATGTCATCGTTAATAATAGCTACGCTACTTTTAACTTTTACGACAATTTTCTCTTCAACTTCGTCAACTCCTACGTCATGATCCTCCACCAAATTTGGAGGTTGAATAACGAACGAAGTATCTTGTGCCTCCTTAACTTTGACAACGGGTGGAACATCTTCGATTTTTCTAGAAGCACTATTTCGCTCATAATATTCTGACCTCCATGCTGACTCTTGAGCCTCTTCAAGGGTGTAGAATATACGCCACCCCATCCTAAGACGTATTGAAATATTCAAACCTGCCAAGTACCGTGAAATTTCCGTACTTTCGGATTCTTGCAGGTTATTTAAGTTTGCTAGTCTCTCAAACTCAGCAGTATACTTGTTAACAGATCTACTCCCTTGCGAACAATTACGATATAGTTGAAATAGACGTTGCTCATAACCTAAGGGTAAAAAACGATCCATCAACATTTTTCTCATCCTCCTCCATGATTGGATTGGAAATTTTTCTTGTCTAGCTCTCTTCCTCTGTATTTCATCCCACCATGCGGCTGCACAACCCTTTAACTCACACCTAACCAATTTTACCATCTTATTCGGCAAAATATCCATCAATTCAAAATAATTTTCGACTTCTGACACCCAATCGATAAAATCCTCAACTTCAAGAAAATTTCCTCTAAAAGAAGGAATTTCAGCTCTTACCCGATATTTATCACGATCTTTTTGCCTCCTTCTAGGCGGATTTTCTTCAAAATCAGAGTTGCCGCTCACCTTTGAATAGTCGTCATACCTTGATTGAAGTTGAACAGGTCCATAATAATTATGTCTAACATATGCACCTCGGGCTACACCGTCGGCAATACCCATGCTAGATCCAGTTCTTTTGTTGTTGTTGTCAAGGGCAAATCCCTCGCGCACCAACCGCAGATTTTGCAGTTTCTCAACTCCGCGGTCATCGCCAATGTAGTTGTTGTCTCCATGTCTCGCACCTTTCGCCATCTAACCAGGAAAAACCTCGCTACTGATGCCAACTGACGCAGGACGGAAGCACGGTAAAGAATTAATTTCTACGAATTAATCCTACAGAACAAAATAACATTCGGAATCCACCGAAAACTCTGGAATCCACCAGAAAAATAGAGAAAACTCTAAATATTTTATTAAAATTCGAAAATCTTCTAAAATAAAGTCCTAAGGCATCTATTTATACTAAAAAACTGAAAACCCTAATTAAAATAAGAAAATACTAAAATTACCAAAAACGGCAAAAACGAGTTAGAGTCTGATTCTAGTAGATCTCGTAATTTTGGGAACAACCCAATTTACGGAATCCTAATCCGATTTTTCTATGATTTGATATTAATTTTCTAAACCTTACCTAAAATAGCAAAAACGAACTTTTGGGAGTCTAAACGACCTTGGATTGCTGAAATTTGACGCGATTCATGAGCTTTGCTCATGAGTTTTGTTCCTTACGCCGTTTTACTTGAGATAGAGTTCGTTTCATACTCAACTACGATTTAAGTACGTCGAAAACCCTTATTTTCCCATAATTTCTTTCGATATTTCCACCAATGCCCATTAATAACTCTTCTCCAAATTAAATAGTTATTTTGCAACACGAATCCAATTTGACGTTCCTTATCAATCTCCTCTTCTTCAAAAGAGCTCGACCTCGAGCTATGATCAAAATAAGCAACGGGCCGGCCTCGAACATATAGTCATCACCAGCACGTCTTTTAAAATAATTAAAGTCGCATACAATTTGTTTCTAGAAATTGCAAATTTATTAAAAAAAAATTGCAAATTAAATGAAATATTAATACACTGATAGAATGGAGAAATACGTGCACCCATGTGTTATTGTGACACTTCAGTAGTGGAGTCCCATTTTCCATTCACTTATTTTTATTGGAGTAAAATTCAAAATTGAAATTTCAAATTGTACAAAAAGTCTTTCTTTGACTATTTGTTTAATCAAAATTTACGTCTCTACATTTGAATAAAACAATGACTTCAATTTGTAAAAATTAAATATGACAAATAAATATTCAATTTGAAGTTACAGAATCAAGTTATAGCTATTAATTTATTTAAACGAATACAATTTACAAAAAAAAAAAATACCGATATCTTATTTTAATCAAGAAAAACAGAAAAATCAAGTATAATATTAAACACAACTATCACAATTAAATTACCCATTTTTGTTTTTAGTGTTAAATATAAAAATTAATACGACGATCACCGACAAAGAGCATTTCCTTGAAAATTTAATGAAAATAATAAAAGACTGAACAAGAGAAGAGAGTGAACAACTGGTCACGTTTACATATTAAAAACATAAAAAAAAAAAAATAATAAATAAATAAATAAATAATAGTAGAATTTAGTATAAAATCATAAAAAATGTTATAGTGAGGACAAATAAATACCTAGCCAAATCATACAATGTCGATAATTGCAAAACAAAACAATGTATTCTTACTTATTAAATTCCACAACTTGTACAAAATTTAATTGAACGTTCATTGCTTGGTAATTTTTTTTAATTTTTTTTAATTTTTTTTATTTTTATTTTTTACGAAGAAACTTGATGGCAACTATGTAGATGCACTGTGTAAATCTACACTCTAGTGTAATAGCTTGCGAATTATACGAGAAACATCAACCATACTAGATTAATGACATGTGACAAGTTCCACCTAACAACCGTTAACAAGAAAATTTGAACTTGAATTAAAACAAAATGCACTTACTTCAACCACCGGATCAGATCTTGGGAAATGATAGGCATCAACAACAACATTGATTTCTTCGTAGATATCGATCGAATAAAAAGCCAAAGCCCAAAAGCTAAATCTTATGTTTAATACCATAATCATATTCATCCATATTATAAAAAATCTACAATTTGCCCTTTTTCTTTTTATTTAACAACAAAAAGAAATTAACATTTCATTACATCAAAGCTATGCAGCAGGAACACGGCGAAATGGAAAAAACAGACACATGAAAACATCATTTTTCAAATAAATACGAGAATGTGGGAAAACGTGTAAATATTAAAAATATAGAGGTACATCCATAATGTTTTCAAAAATATTATAAGATTAACTTATATTTATATCATATATGATTTATGATGATGCTCCGACGTGCGGATAGTAGAAACAGTCCAGAGAATACATGTTGTAGTATTGTTCCGATAATAGGCGTGCCTTAAGGAATAATTAAAACTTTTATTTATACCTCAATTGAGATTGTCGGACCCAAACCTTACTCTAAGGTGATTGGACCTTGGTAACAGAAATCTTCAATATTGGGCTCGTGGTTCAGTAGATAAAGAAATTGTAGGCCCATTGAGTTGGCCCAATTAGGCATATCACGTTATTTTATTATGGAATTAACATCTAAAAAATATTTAAACACCACTAGAAAAAAAAACATAAGATTTAAGATTTTTTCAATCAAAGTCAATTTTCGAGTCTTTATTTAAAACGAAATTTGCAATTTCTTAGAAACGGAAGCACGTTCCTTTTTTTTGTTATTACTAAAAACATCCCCAAAACTTCTAAAACATATAACAAAATTGGCCCAAAATATTTCCAACATGTGTCGTGTACGAAAGTTTCCGCACATCATAGCTCAAAATTATATAGATTTTACAAGAAAAAAAAAACTCAAGAGAAAAGGAAGGTAAATCTGACATCTAATTTTTGACAGGGATAAGTGTTGCATCCGCCGTACACTAAGGGGCAAAATGTAATTAATATACTACCAAGTTTTGTATGCATCAATTTCTTGAATAATTAATAATAAATAATAGAGACTAGTAATTAAAATTTGGGGGAGAGGCGCGTGTACTACAAACCCCCAAGCAGTGTATCGGTTTCCCCGAAAAAGGATAAGACCGTATAATACGCAGAAAAGTAAACCGTACAAATACCAGAAATACCAAATCCAGCGTATTTATTAGTATCAGAAACTCCTAAAATCTTCTCCTAATAATACTTGCGCAAAAATCTCCACCTGTCCCACTAATTCGTTACTTTCTCTCTCTTCCACCCTGGCCCCCGTCCTTTTAACGCGTTCTCTCACGCGTTTTCTTGCCCCCCGCCCCCACCCCCACCTCTTTCTCTCTCTCACTATATATCCTTCTCTCTTCTTCTTTACCAATTAGCAGATGCTTCCCATTTCACATCTGCATATCTCTTCTTTGATTTTTGTTTCTCTCTCTAAAATCTTGATTTTGAAAAACATACTTTAAAATCTTTCTTTTTTGGTTTGATTAAACAAAAAAAAAATGCCGTCAAAGGCGGAGCAAGAATCGTTCCTACCATCGACGCCGGGGAAATTGAAGGACAAATCGCACTCAATGCACCGGCAGTTCCACCGCTGCTTCACCTCCACCAGCACCATGTTCCTGTGGGCCCTCTTCCTGGTGGCGCTCACGGCGGCGTACCTCAGCTTCCAGTCCTTCGTCGACTCCGGCAGCAAGTACTTCCACACCGCCTGGGGCGGTATCCAGTGGGAGAAGCAGGTCCGCTCCTCCGCCCAGATCCGCCGCCAGGGCGGCTTCTCCGTCCTCGTCACCGGCGCCGCCGGCTTCGTCGGCAGCCACGTGTCCCTCGCCCTCAAGAAACGCGGCGACGGCGTCGTCGGCCTCGACAACTTCAACGACTACTACGACCCCTCCCTGAAGAAGTCCCGGAAGAACCTCCTCAGCTCTCAGGGCGTGTTCGTCGTCGACGGCGATATCAACGACGCGCGGCTGCTGGCGAAGCTCTTCGAGATCGCGCCGCTCAGCCACGTCATGCACCTGGCGGCGCAGGCCGGCGTCCGCTACGCCATGGAGAACCCACACTCGTACGTCCACAGCAACATCGCGGGCCTCGTCACGCTTCTCGAGGCATGCAAGAAAGCCGACCCGCAACCCGCCGTCGTGTGGGCCAGCTCCAGCTCGGTATACGGGTTAAACGAAAAGGCCCCATTTTCCGAGTCGGACCGAACCGACCGACCCGCCTCACTCTACGCCGCCACAAAAAAAGCCGGCGAGGAAATCACCCACACCTACAACCACATCTACGGGCTCTCCATAACCGGGCTGAGATTCTTCACCGTCTACGGGCCATGGGGCCGGCCCGACATGGCCTACTTCTCCTTCACCCGGAACATCCTCCAAGGTAAACCGATCACAATATACCGGGGCAAGAACCGGGTCGAACTCGCCCGGGACTTCACTTACATCGACGACATTGTCAAAGGCTGCGTGGCGTCACTTGACACGTCAAAGAAGAGCACCGGGTCGGGCGGGAAGAAACGGGGCCCGGCCCAATTCCGGATCTTCAATCTGGGTAACACCTCACCCGTAACGGTACCCATGATGGTCAGCTTATTGGAAAAGCACTTAAAAGTAAAAGCGAAAAAGCACTTTTTGGAAATGCCCGGAAACGGCGACGTTCCGTTCACACACGCGAATATCAGTTCGGCCCAGATCGAATTAGGGTATAAACCGACAACCGATTTGCAAACCGGGTTGAGGAAGTTTGTTAGATGGTACTTATCTTATTATGGCTACAATCACGGCAAGTCTTTAAAATGATTTTAATTTTCATTTTTTTTTTTTTTTTTTTTAAATATTTTTTTCTTTAATTTTTAGTGGTTAATTCATAATTGTGTTGATTAAATATCAAGGGATAAAGGATGGGAAAAAAAAAGAGAGGTGAAAGTATATTCCTTTTCTTGAGGATAAGAAATCTGCTTCCTATCTTCAATTTACGGTTATATGCTGTCATTTTTGCCCAAATGACTTTTTTGTCCCTGTGTATATGTATTTTCCAAAACGACGTCGATTTGTATCTGTAATTTTACCACATGAATACTATACCGTTTTTTCAATTTTATTTGGTGTAGTTTATTATATATATTGTTTAATTGTGGCTCGTATGGATGCTTAATTATTGTGATTAGCGACTAAACATTATTTAAATGTGTTAATTTAGGTTTTTTTTTATTTAAAATCAGATAAGACGAAATAGATTATTGGTAGTATCTTACAGTTGATCATGAGTTGGACTCGCTTAATATGAGTTGGAAACCAATGATTATTCTCATTTTATTAAAAAAAGAAATGGTGATTACTATTATATTTATTTGACTTCAATTAGTGCTGTCTAGTTTATTTAAAGAGAGGGTTGTAATTTGTAAAGCTTTATGAAGAAATATATTAATACGAAAAACGTAATATTATCGGATGATACGCTCGGTAAAATACATCGGGTACTGGTTTGTTTTAAGTCTATATACACTTAAATAGTTATACGTGTGCGTGTGGGCTAATTATGTATGAATTAATACACTTATGTAGTACGCAAATTTTAATTTTTTTTAATGTTTTCGTGTTATGAGCTATTTTGCAATTTCAAAAAAGTTATAGACATGTTTGATACCGAAATTTCAAATAATTTTGTTGCTTCCCTAATTATTTACATAATTTAATGATTAACTGTAAATTGATTGTATGGTTGCATGAAAATATATATAAATAAAAACTTACATATGTTTTTATAGTATATTTATAAATGTACACCCTTCACTTTTAATATTTACACGTTTCTCTCAATCTCTCGTATCCTCATATTTAGGACATGCCATTTTCCTATGTCAATTACGCCGTTTTCTGGTATCATCGTTTCTGTATCCGTGCTACATAGGTAAACAGCTTCGTGAGTTACATATACAATATGTGCATTTATTTAGGGGTCTCATCATTTATATATATATATATATATATATATATATATATATATATATATATATATATATAAAGGAATATTTTGATTCATATATTGTTGACCTTCATTTATGTATTATTAAAAGACTAAAATAAGTTTATTTTAGCTTATTAGCATATAAAAAGGTACTAGAAGTATATATATATTATGTTGCTTCTTCATGCCAACTTGTCAAGTAGTGGGAAAATGATGAGCACTCTAGAAGAAAAAAAATAATTAAGTATGTGCTCTACAAATATTTTAAGTGAATACAAAATTTGAATATTTTATCTATAATATTTTATTGGTTTTACGCCTTGTTACATAATATACTCTCAAGTCCCAATCATGACAATTAAAAAAATTAAAAAAAAAATCGTGACAATTATGATTTTTTGTAGTATCAATTGTATTCTAGTTTATATTTACTTTTACTAATTTTATTGTAACTTATTTGGTAAAATATACAATAGAAATATTAATTGAAAATAAAATAGAATACAAAAATACTCTCGATCATAAGATGTTGCACTGGGTGATTTTAAATCATAAATCTATATAAATAATCACTCATTAAGCACACATGCACGTTAATATGTTTTCGTAATTTAATCTTACCTCAGAAGTGGTCGTAATTTACCCTTTTATTGTTCTTATTATTTTGTAAAATATCAAATAAAAATAGGGTAATTTACGGTCACCCCCGAGGTAAGGTCAAATTATGAAAACACCCTCATATTTGGGTAATTACAATCACCCAATTATGAATTTTCTTATACGTCCACCCTTGCGGTATCAAATTTAGTGAAATCTTCTAGATTGTATAGAATATTCTCAAGTGTGTACCCATTTTATCCATTTGAGCTCCACATTTTGAGCAAAATGATCATAAGATGTGTTTTTTGGCTTGTCAATATCAAATTGTAGTTCATCAGAAACTACATTTTTGCACAAAACGAGTACAAACTAGAGAACGTTCCACTGAATCTATAAGATTATGTTGAATTTGACACCATAAGGATGAACGTATAAGAATATTCATAATTAAGGAGTAATTGTGATAACCCAAACATGAGAATTTTTTCCGTAATTTACCATTACCCTAGATAGCAGTTGTAATTTATCCATAAAAATATCAACCGTAAATAAAATAGAATACCATTATACCCAAGAGCATTTTGGTAAAATTACTTGCTACACGGAGGTACAAATGACAGCTAAGAGAGAGAAACAAAAAGAGGGTGGAGAGAGAGAGTGACAGCTAAGAAGAGTTTTGATTGCATAAAACACAGGGCTACAATCAGTGGGCCCCACTACAAGTGAGCTCACCACTTTAGCCGTTGATTTGGGCCCAATTCGTCAAGTGTGGTGAGACTTTGTTCTTTGGCGTATTCCTGCCGACACTTAAAACGTTGTTTTCTAATACGTGGGCTTTAGGTTATTGTCTTTAATTATGTATCGACTGTGACATTTTCTGCTCTAATCAAAATCAAATAATAAATATTTATGTACGTCTTTAATTTAAGATTATATAATTATAGTTTTTAAATGAATTAATTTTTTTTATTATTATTATTGTGTGGGACAGTTGTCCAAATTGTGTGCCATATCTTATTTTTGAATGCAATATTTCTATAATTAACGACTTTAGTGATTAATTAAAAAATATCATCTCATACAATAATAAATAAATAAATGATAAAATCTCAATAATAGTCTAGCATTTTATTATTTAGTTCTGCTGCAATTTATCTCATGTCTCTACTCATTTTCACCCATCAACGTTGCAATTCATCTTAATATAGTTCAGTGTATAAATTTGTTAACTTTAACGAAATCTCTTTAAGATTAGATGAAATATTTCATTGTGAAGTATATATCTCTTAAATTGGAGCTTAGTGGATTAATAATTGTGGATAAAGTAATTAGTGGTAAAAAAATAAAAATAAAAATAAAACTAAAAAGAAAAAGAAAAAGAAAAAGAAAAAAATGTGGGGAGACAGATGCTTTGAATCCACCGACAGTTGGTGGGGCCCAGGGGCGGATTCTCAGTATGGGAAGGGGGGGCTGTTGCCCCCCCAAGAATTTGGAAAAAAAATATTACTTATATATACATATATATAATTACACTATAAGTATTTAATATAAATTATATATTAATACAAAAGGAAGGAAGCCACTGCCGAGAAAAAGTAAAATTGGAAAATTTTATTAATTAGTAAATAATATATAATAATATCTTAATTGTATTTCAATTCGAGAAAGAGTTTTAAAACAAATAAAATTTTATTAAAATAGGAATTGGTTTAACAATAAGTTTCTTCCCTTTTAATTCTCTCATCTCCGTATCTTCTTCACACGTTCTTCACCTCGTTCCATTGAAGAAAAATCTCACGGTAATTATCAAACTTCTTCATCTCTTTTTATCTTTTTTATTTTATTATTTCTTATTCTTTAATTATATGTAAGAATTTTATTGAAGCATAGATGATTTTATTTATAAAATTTATTTAAAGGGCTTTTATTTTTTACTATATTGAATTCTTTGAAATTTATTGTAGGTCGATTGTACTAATGTCTTCGAATCAACCCAAACGATTGAAAAATAATACGATTCACGCCTTTTTCCAAAGTAATAAAAAAGAATCATCAACATCTAATGTTGATAGTTCTTCTCTCGATCATGAACAAGAACGTCCTGAACCGGCTATTACAACAGTTGGGGTTATGCTTAATGAAGAATTTGATATCAATTCTTTGGAACGTGATCCGGGAAAAAGACCTCAAATTTGGATGTATCCTGTCGAAAAACAGGACGAAATTCGCCGTACTTATATCAAGTTAGGGCCATATCAATTTTATTTACCTGAATATCCTTACTCAGGTAATGAAGGCAATCGTCGACGATTTCAGTATGCATGGTTTTCCAAATTTCCGGCTTGGTTAGAGTATTCTCCGACTAAAGATGCTGCTTATTGTTTGCCATGCTTTATTTTTGCTAGTGAGACAAATGTACGTTTTGGCGCGAATACATTTATGGTGGAAGGATTTCGAAATTGGAAGAAAGTAAATGAAGGAAAAAATTGTGCTTATTTACGCCATATTGGAGGCCATAATTCCCAGCATTGTGTTTCTTTAAAATCATGCGAGGATCTAATGAATCAATCTGCGCATATAGACAAGGTCATGCAAAGACAGTCATCGGTAGAAATATTGAATAATCGTTTGAGGCTTAAAACCTCAATTGACTGTGTTCGTTGGCTTGCATATCAATCATGTTCTTTTCGAGGCCATGATGAAGGCCCAACGTCAAAAAATTCAGGTAATTTTCGCGAGATGGTGAAGCTTTTGGCAAATTATAATGAAAAAGTAGCTGCAACTGTTTTAGATAAAGCTCCTCCCACTGCCAAGTACATCTCTCCGACAATTCAAAAGGAGATATTGCATATTATTGCTTCTAAGGTGAGAAATAAAATTCGAGAAGATATTGGTGACTCTAAGTTTTGTATTCTTGTTGATGAGGCACGAGACGAATCCAAAAAGGAACAAATGGCTCTTGTTTTAAGATTTGTTGATAAAATAGGTGTTCTCCAAGAACGTTTCTTTGATATCGTAAGCGTCAAAGACACAACTTCGTTGACTCTTAAACATGAACTTTCAACAATTTTTTCTCATCATGCTTTAAGTATTGATAATCTTCGAGGGCAGGGTTATGACGGTGCAAGCAATATGCGTGGCGAATGGAACGGATTACAAGCATTATTTTTGAAAGATTGTCCGTATGCATATTACGTACATTGTTTTGCTCATCGACTTCAGTTGGCATTAGTGGCGGCATCAAGAGAGGTAATTCTTGTTCATCAATTTTTTTCAAAGTTGGACACCATTGTAAATATTGTGGGCGCTTCTTGTAAGAGAACCGGTGAGTTAATTACTGCACAACAAGCTGAAATTTCTCGTTTGATATCTATTAATGAACTTGAAACTGGTAGTGGAGCTAATCAAATTGGCAATTTACAACGAGCTGGAAATACTCGTTGGGGTTCCCACTTTTCTTCTGTGTGTAGCTTGAAGAAAATGTTTAGTGCTACTGGGAGTGTGCTTCAAACCATTATATCTGATGGAGCAAATTATTCCCAACGCGGTGACGCTGATTCTGCTTATACTGCCATGACATCTTTTCAGTTTGTTTTTATCTTACTCTTGATGGAAAGGATAATGGGAGTTACTGATGTTCTTTGTCAAGCTTTGCAACAACGATCCCAAGACATATTGAATGCTATGCATTTAGTCTCAACAACAAAACAACTTCTTCAAAATTTGAGGGATGATGGGTGGAATAGTTTTTTAAATGATGTTAATTTATTTTGCCAAAGTAATGAAGTTGAGATGCCTGATATGAATTCTACTCATAAAGTAGGTCGGGGGAAGTCGATTCACCAGCCACGAGATACTAATATCACGATGGAGCATCATTTTCATTTTGATATATTTGTGACTACCATAGACACACAGATGAAAGAGTTAAATTGCAGATTTAATGAGCAAACAATGGAACTTTTAACTCTTAGTTGTGCTTTGGACCCAAGTGATTCATTCAAGTCCTTTAAAGTAGATGATATTTGCACTCTTGTTGAGAAATATTATCCTGCAGATTTCACAGAACAAGATAGGCTCCTCCTGAAGTTTCAATTGCAGCATTATCATCTTGACATGACTAAGCATCAAGACCTATGTCATTTGTCTACTCTTGCAGCACTATGCGAAGGATTAACAAAGACGGGAAAATCCAAAGTATATTATCTAGTTGATAGGTTGATTCGTTTGATCTTACTTCTTCCGGTGTCTACTGCTACCACAGAACGAGCTTTTTCTGTTATGAAGCTTACCAAAACTAGAATTCGGAACAAAATGGAAGATGGGTTCCTTGGAGATTGCATGCTTCTACATATTGAAAGGGAAATTGCTGATCTTTTTAGTACAGATTCCATAATAGATGAATTCTATTCGAAGAAAAAACGTAGAGCACAACTTAAATGATGTATTATTTTGGACGTATTTATTTGAAGATTTGGTTTATTGTCAAAAAAAAAATTAAACCACATTTATTTATTTATTTATTTTTATATTGTTTATATTTTCATTATTTTTATCATACGTTCAGCCCCATTTTTTGGTGATTAAATTGGACTATATTTTTAGAACATGACTTTCAAGAATGCTTTTATCATTAAAATTGTGTCGGTTTAGTCTCTATGTAATTAATTACCACCTCAATAAAAGTTTTCAATAATACAGGTGTATTAGTGTGGCTATATAAAATTATAAACTATCTAATGTATTTTACCTGATAAATAAGGTTGAGCACAGATTGGGTCGAATAATTACCGGTCGATTATCGATTAGACATAATAAACCGACTTATGAATATAAAAAAACTAAGCCACTAAGGTTGGTATGAGTCGGTTTTATCATCCAACTGAGCCATTTTTTATGGTCAATAACCGATAATTAACCGACTCATGTGGTTGGGACAACAATTTTAACTGAGACATAAATGAACGAGTGGTCAATGGTTTTCAATTTGCTCAAAAGTTGGTTGGTCGATAATACCCGATCAACTGACTTTTAATAATAAAAAGTATTATTAATATTTAATAATATTTCTTATTTTTAAATTTAATATAATATATATAGAATAAGTCAAAATTAAAAAAATAAATTTATAGGCTTCTACGTACCATTAATTCTTGTTTCTTTTTCTTTTTTATATATTTACTTACTGTAGAAATTTTGTAAAGAAGACAATTTTAGAATTTTGCAACATAAGTTTTTGTAAAAATTTGGATATCTTTTGAATTATTTAAAAAAATAATAATAAAATAACATATTATCACTATTATTGTAAAAAAAAATCAATTTTTAGATAATCGATAATACCAACCAACCCACCTAATTTTACCTGATAAAGTCAGTTGATAACCATTAACCGACTCACAATTGTCGGGTTGATATGATTTTCAATATTCAGTAAAATCACTTGGTGAAGTCGGCAATGATTTTCAATATTCAGCAATATCACTTGGTCGGCTCAGGTAAATAATTGACCCATAATTACCCAACTCGACCCTGCAAGCGCCATTAAAAACTACTGTCCCAATAATTTGTAAGTCAAGATTGATTACAAGAAAATTATATAAATTTAGAATGATCAAATAATAATCAATCATAGAATGATCAAATACAATGTTTTGAAAACCGGATCGGACCGGCCGGTCCGACCGGTTCAACCGCGAACCGCCGACGTGTCCGGTCCGGTTAGATGTAAAAACCCAAAAAGTTCAAAAACCCGGGCCAATTATCAAAAACCCGGTTCGACCGGTATGAACCGGGAAACCCGGAAACCAGTCCGGGAACCGGGTTTCAGCTCAAAATGGCCGGATCTCCATAAATGGTCGTCTTAAGTGACCAAATCTTGAGGGAGAAGGTTGGGATTGAACGGATCTGGGTCACATGTGACCCAATCCAAGTGGTGGTTGCCATATAGAGAAGAAAGAATAAACCGAAGGAGAAGAAAGAAGGAAGAAGAAAGGAAAAAAAGAAGAAAAGAAGAAAAGAAGAAAGGAAGAAGTGGAGATGAAAGGGTCTGTGAAAACCGACGAAGGAATTAGCAGAAAGGAGAGAGAGAGGAGATAGGAGAGGGAGAGAGGAGAGAGGAGAGAGGAAAAAATGATTGAAAATTCTTTTTTTTTTTTCTTTTTTCTAGATAAACTTTGACTTGATTCACTAATTTGGAAAGAAAATATAAAAGAATATTATATTTTAGGTATTAAATTAATTATATTAAAAAAAGTGAAAAACCCGGTTGAACCCCGGTTGAACCGGTTCAACCATGACCCAGTTACTTGTCCGGTTCGATGTCCGGTCCGGTTTTCAAAACATTGATCAAATAGACTTGATTTTTCAAAAGTATTATTTAAAAGAGGGCGGCTATTCGAACTACGATATTTGCTTAGTGTAAGACGTCCGAAAACAAATTTTACCATTTTACTATTACCCTTAATAAAAACACGAGACCCCAAACACAAATGCTTGTGACTAAGTAAAAAGTGGTATTGCAAATACCCACCCCCTATTTAAAATGGATTTATTGGGCTGCAAGTCTGCAAAATTATAATGTTCGTTAACTTTACAACAAATATATTAAAACACCGGCCAGTCTCTGAGGTAAGATGAAATTATGAAAAAAAATTCTTATTGTTTGAGTAATTATAACCAATCCTTAACTATGTATCGTCTTACACATTCATCCTTAGGAAGTTAAATTTACATATTAAATGAGAGATTTTTTCGAAAAACAATACATAGTTGATGGTTAATTGTGATTACTCAAATAAAATGAGTTGTTTTCATAATTGACCTTATCTTAGGGGACTGGTAGTAATTTGCCGAAAATATTATGGGTAAAAAGGTCCAGTACCTCCTGGCTCCTGCCATTAGATATATATTGGGCCAAATCCTATGGACCTATCTACCTTTTGTGAAGAACTCTTTAAGGAGTGAGAGAGTGTGAGACAATTGGGCTACGTTTGTTACCGTTTTCAAATTCTTTTCACACTTTCCCCAAAATGAAAATTATTTTTCTACACTATTTTCAAAAACTTTCCCCAAAACAAATTCAAATATTTCTCTCTCTAACAAACATGATTTGACCGCTAAGTGAAAATTGTCTTCACTAAAATACAAAATCAAATCACTTTATCTTTTAAATTCTTCTTCCAAAATACCTTTTCCCAACACCTTTCAGACATGATTTGACTTGCTACAGTACAAATTATCTACTCTCAAAACACAAACAAACATACATTAATTTTCAAATTCTTCCCCCAAAACATCTTTCTCCAAAATAAAATGGAAATGGAAGCCCAAAAGCTTACCAAACAGAGCCTTGGTGTTTATATATATATATATATATATATATATATATATATATATATATATATATATATATATATATATATATATATATATATATATATATATATATATATATATATATATATATATATATGTTTGAGCTTTTTATTTAAAAAAAATATTAATTTGCTTTTTAATATTCATTAATTTAAGAACTTGAGGATTTTAACTAAAAAAAACTGTTAATAATCATGTTCATTATTAGATCCTGTTTATATTTATTTTATTTTATTCCCTTTATTATTAATAAATCCTGTTTTTCTGAATGCCCAGAAATAGAAATTAGAAATACAGCAACAGTGCATATTTCCCCACATTCGAAGAGAAAAATAATTAAATAAAAAAAGAAAAAGAAAAAAAAATGAGTAGAGTGATCTGCAAATCGATTCTATCACCTTCTCTCACTTCCACTCAACTTCGGATCGCTCCGCTCCGAACCTCCGCCACAAAGGCTTCCCGGATGGCCGGCGAAGCTTCCTCTCCCCCGCCGCCGCAATCTTCGTCTTCATCTGCCGCACCTTCTCCTTCTCCTTCCTCCGCCATCGATTTCCTCTCTCTGTGCCACCGTCTCAAGGTAACCAACTGCGCCTAAATGCTAATCATGAATGTGCGATTCAATTCTATGTAATGGTTGTTTGGAATTGAAATCTGGTGGCGAGTTTAATTTATCTAATTTTACACATTTTTTTTCTGAGTTGTTAATGGCGTGCTGTATGATTAATTGATTAACATTGGTGAATCCTGAAAGTTTTGTTATTCTTTATCAACGAGAAACAAATAGATTGAATTCGTTATTGCTAATTACGCTTTTGCGTTCACGTTGATAAATCGGAGAAAAAAACGTGACATATGATTTGGTTTGCGGATGTTCTATAGTTAAAAGCAGCCGAAATAAATGAAGAGAAAGTAGAGATCAAAAAAGTTACCATGGCATTGGCAGATATACACTTCATTTTATTGCACCGATCATTTTTATTCGCTGTCATCCATCTTTTATTCCTCTATGATTACTGAATTTGGATTCTTAAGTACGAAGTACGTTTATACTGGGTTAAATTCAGCAGAGATAGACTAGATTAGTTAAGGAAACTAAACATTCTTGTATCCACATTGAATCCTCTTCCGTCTATGGTGATTTTGCATATAAATTTCCATTTAACATTTAGCAAGCTCGTTGCAGTTATTAAATTATCTTTGTGTCGCCTTTCTATTTTGGTCCTGTATATTTTCCGGTCTATGTGCAGTTGTTTGCGTATTAGAGTTTATATGATTCTGCGGACACTACACCTTCTGAATGTTTGTTTAAATGTCTCACTTAGTCGAGCTTTGCAATCTTACTAGACAACAAAACGAGCAGGATGGATACGAAAAGAGGTTCAGGAACCAGAATCAATAGCTGATCATATGTATCGGATGGGATTAATGGCTCTTATAGCTTCTGATCTTCCTGGTGTCAACCGTGAAAAGTGAGTTTTTCGTGCGTTTTTCTAGTTTGTATATTTGGTCAGTCTGATGTTCAGTTGAACAAACTTATTCGAATATGTGTTGTGCTTTAATTTGGTGCTTATCCCCTTTTTGAATTTCAGGTGTATAAAAATGGCAATTGTTCATGATATTGCTGAAGGTAACAATTACTTACAGTTATTAATTTTTACTAGTTCCATCTCTCACCGTATACTATCTTCCTCAAAGAAAATGAGCTCTATTTGTTCGTAACTTAATGCTTGATAAATATCTGACCTAGTCTATTAAAATATACTTCAGCATCAGATAGTTTAGTCAACATTGTAGGACGAGAGAGGAAACGTTCAATTTCACAGTGAGAATACAATCCATACACGTTGGCGTCAGCTAAAGATGCTCAGTACTGGTTCTCTAGAAAACAATACCATGGACAAAAATGAAATCTCCCAAGGAGAGAACGAAGCCAAAAGAGGAATATAAAAGAGGCGCAGTAGTTGTAGGGGATAGAGTTAACACTGAATCCTCAAAGTTTGTTTTTGATGAAGGCAGATTTTTTGTTTCAGTACATTTAGGCCTTCCTTTGATCTATTAAATGAAAAATTTCTTGTGACCAATCTGGCTGATTTGTTGTAAGGATGTTCGGAGAAATGAAGATTGTCGTCATTTATTTTGCTTTGCCATTTGTGAACCTACATACAATTGTTTCTGACTAAAATATCTTGTTACAGACCAAATTTAAGTCCTTATCATATTGTCAGGAAGCAACAATAGGGAAACTTTTCAATCTAAAATTCAGAAATGCAGAAAACGAAGGTTTAGTGTTAACTTATTTTGGGGTGTATGGATCCCTCTGCTCACTTTTCACACACCACTCTCCTGCTCACATCTCACAATTAGAATGGATTTATTCTATTTTGGTGTTTATTGACATTATAAATTGTTTCTGGCTTGTATACTTCATTAATATTTTTTGGATGGAGATGCTTAAAATTTATCGTTCTTGCCTTATGTGTATTCGAGCATGTATATATGATCATTCTGCAAAACTAACCTGCCACTGGTCATGTTTGGCTCGTATGCATAGCTATTGTTGGTGATATCACTCCTGCTGATGGTATTCCAAAGCAAGAAAAGAGTCGACGTGAGCAAGAAGCACTGAAGAACATGTGCGAACTACTTGGTGGAGGAGCACGAGGTATTGTATACCTTTAGTGCTTCCCTACTATTCTGGTTGAACTCAATATGTAAGATGTGTATCTATCATACCTATTACCAGTTCGCTCACTGATAGTATATTTGATGCAGCTAAGGAGATCAGCGATTTGTGGATGGAGTACGAAGAGAATTCTTCAATGGAAGCTAAGGTTGTTAAGGACTTCGATAAGGTAATTTTTTTCATCTTTTTTACTTGTGTAAATTTGCAATTTCGCGCTAGTGGTTGGTATATGTGCTCAAGGTTTGGAATTTCAAGTGTGATAAATTCTTAGCACTATTGTCACCTGTTACTGCAGTAACATAACTTGCCTGATGAAGTTGTGCATCAAGTTAAGATCTGTTAAAATAAAACGGGTCTAATCATGAATATGTAATGGTTATCAAAAGACAGACGAAATAATGGACTAGGAAGGAAGACGAAGGACATGCACAAATATAACCATCTGTTTATCTTGTTGGGACAAGGAAATAAAAGAGAAGGCCAGCCTTTTCAACAGCAAAAGTATGACAAAGAAAATCGACATACTTGCTTGTACTGAAGTGGGGAGAAAATAAAATCCTATGGGAAGAATCCAGAGCACATACATAACATCGTTGACTTTTCTTACTAATTTTGTGTGTGTGATACTTCTAACCTGTTGTCTTAAAATCGAAATTTCTAGTCTCACAATAATGGGCACATCTAGAATAGTTCTTCGTGTATAACTCAACCTGGATAAATGCCTAAAAAAGGAAAGAAAGTCAGAGATTCCGAACAAAAAGTAAATAGATGTCCCCAAAAATGTTGACTAAGGTGGTTTACTTGGTTACTTGTTAGAGGGAAGTATTGTGCATATGGATCGAACTAGTTTAGTGGGAAGAGGGTCGTCCAGTATGAGTTAAATTTTGAGCAGTCAGGGAAGAAAAGCCCCTCATGCTTCAAAAGGAGCCGTGTTATGGACCCGAAAAATCTGGGTTTGCGTAACCTATGCTCAGTTCTGATTAAACTTTTGAATGATTTAAGAAAATGCATTGATCAATGTTATATTATGGTTTTAGTGACCATATTATCTAACTGGAAGTAAATAGAACTGATTTGTTTTTAGTGTTATTTGCGATTCCTAGATGATTATAGAAGGCTCGTTTTTCTTCGTTATCATCTTTGCAGTTGCTACTTGTCAGTTGTCACCAGTAGATGGTATAGGGATCTACATGATGTTTCTTTGTCAACGTCTTAGAGATTTCTTTTTCAATGAAATCAGTAAAACAGTTCCCTTAAGCAAAGTTTGCTAATATGAGTATTCAAATAAAGAAGTAAATTATATTCGAAAACTCCGCCAATTTAACACTGGATTTAGTGCAAAACCCCTGAGAAGAGAAAATTTAATAGATATCACGATTTGCTTGGTTTTCCATAATGATCTTTGATGCTCAAAAGGCCTCCTTTTCCTTTTCGCTTACAAGTTACAATTAAATGAGTAATTAAATATTTTGAGCTGTGTATGGATGAAGTAGGAACAGGACAAAGCACCTTTACTATCATCCATTTATATTTGCAAGCGGAGATGATTATTGTGCACAAGTGATTTACCGAGAGTTGCACACTGAATCTTCATTTTGATATTACTTTATAAATGGTCGATTAAAGGTTGTCGGAGACTGCTACAGTTATTAAGTGATACATTGTTTCTAACAAGTGCATGCATTAAATATGTTTCTTTTATGCCTTTTTCAATATCTGATATTTGATCTTCATTTTTCAGGTAGAGATGATACTTCAAGCCTTAGAATACGAAAAAGGTAAATCACCATGATTCATCTTGTTTAATTTCTTAAAAACAAATTTCGATTCCTTAAGTTTTTTAGAATCTTGATAGAGCCAATAACTAATTTTCTTTTAATTGCCTTCCATAACACGAGTAGAATTTAGCAATTGTTCGACACCTAATTTTGTTTCTATTGAAGCTTCTTGGTATCTCGATATAATTTATGCTTCTTGATCGTCTCTCTCAAATGTCCTCTTATCACGGTAACTTAAAAGACTGCCATTTTTTCTTGTATGCAGAGCAAGGAAAAGATTTGGAAGAGTTTTTTGAGTCAACTGCAGGTAAATCATGACAACCATCTATCTACCCACACACACACACACGCGCGCGCACACACAAACACACACATAACTCTTTTATCTTTTTATAGGCAAGTTTCAAACTGATTTGGGGAAAGCTTGGGCTCTGGAAGTAGCATCAAGGAGAAGAAAGCAGTAACATCTTAACAGAAAAAAAAAATCGTAACTCTTCGAAACTTTTGTTTCTAGAAGCCAGTTCTTACTAGGTAGGTGGATTTCGTTAATTGTTCTATGATTAATGATTTAATTATTAATGGATTAAGTTTCTTGCTGACTAATGCTCCTCGTTTTCCAGAATGATTTGCACTCTTCAGGAAAAAGGATAAAAAATTAAAAACACAACCGTTGTTACCATTGCTGACTGGATAAACCCTCATAATTTTTTTTTGGGTAATTCCTTATTTTCATTTTCATAAATTTGTGGTTCTTAATAAAATTAATAATAATGTTGTGGTTAATTGTATTGTTCCACTAAGTTGGCTCATGTGAAGGGTTAACATAATTAAAAAATAGAAAATAATTAAAATAGATCATTTTTATCAACAATAGTTCTGTACTTCTGTTCGGAAAACTCGGCACAAAAAGCAAGTGCACTTTGCCATCAACAATTTCTTAACATGAGATACAATTATATAATACGACCATCAAAATCCTATTAATTTAGCGAAATATTAATTTATTGATAAATTAGTAGTTATTAATTTATATATTATTTAATAATTTATTAATTTATGAAATTATTTTTATTACTATTTTCAAAATATATATTTTTTATAATATTTTTACGTATATATTATTTACTGTACCATTGGTTCAAAGTACTACATAGCCCGTTTATCGAAAGGAAGCTCTTAAAGCAATAATGGTGTTGAACAATTTTCTGTTGAACTATGGGAAACTATATCAGAAGTTCTAACCAAGTTAAAAAAAGTGAGGGACACGATTGATGATGATGTGAACTTCAACAAGAAACAAGCGACAATTAAATCATATTTTGTTAAGCCTTCATAGATCTATAAAATATGTATTGTACTATGTAATTTAAGAATTATTTTTATGCATTATTAATTTATATATTAAACGGGCCTTCTTAAAATTTTCAAACGTGTATAATCTTATAAATTTAGGAATTATTAATTTATCACGTTATCCCCGAGTTAGGACCGGAAAAAAAGTATTATTTAAGCAAGTTTATTAATTTATCGGGTATTAATTAATCGATGTTCTACTATATGATTTTAGGTCTAATAATTTTTTTATTTTTTTTCATAATAAAGAGTTGTAAAAAAAAAAATTTGAAAGCTTTTCAGGTTTTTTAATCCCTTTCTCTTAATATAAAAACACACATCTACATCGTCTGTGTAGATGAATGATAAAAATCTGCACAGTATAGACTTCAACTCCACCACATAGTATAATAAATTTGATGCATTATTGGTGCTATTCCTCTGAGATATGAATGTAAATATCTTTTAATTCTCTCAACAAGACAATATACATTGAAGGGGCGATTTGCTAAACGCTCTCGATCGCTCATATTATTTCAAATCGTCTCTTATAGAAAATATTTTTGACCAGCTTTCAGCTAATTTCACCTTTATTGAATTGCTATTTTGAGAGATTCTCCAAGTTTATTTACATAATTTGTCATTTTAGGTGGTGTTTGCAAATGATTATTTAAAAACAGAAGTTAGTGATTGTGATTTAAGTTAGTTTTAAGTGCTTATTTCTAAAAGTTGGGGGTGTTTGCAAATATTTCGGAAAATGAACTAAAATTGAAAAAGCAGGGTTAGGGGTGCTTTTAAAAAAATAACTTAAAGCAGATTATTTTAAGAGAAGCAAAAGCAAAAGTTGATTTTGCAAACACCTAAAAACAGATTATGAGCAAAAAAAACCGCATAATCACTTTCAAAAAGCATTTGTAAACACCACCTTAATGTGATACTGAATTCGTATATCTTAAATAAGAAAGAAATCATTTACGCTACTATATATAGTCCATCTTTTCCCCTAGAAAGTCAACAAATTATTCACTACAAAAACTCTTTCCCCTAGAAAGTCAACAAATTATTCACTACAAAAACTATGTCTCTCTCCTCAAATCTCTGCATTCTCTTTGGTCTCCTTATTTTTGCATCAGGTAAAACATGCAACAAATTAAATTACATAAACAAATTAATCTTTTTCATAATTTTTCCACTCTTAGTTTTCAATTGAAAAAAATGCAAAAGCTCTAGAAAATCATATATTTTCAAGAGGATCATTTTGAAGTTACGCGACGAGTTTTGTGTCGAAATTTCAAGGATGCTTTTATCGATTTTTAATCTAGATTAAATTTTATTGAAATTGCTAATTAAGTGATATTAACAATTGATGATGATGCAGTTAATGAAAGAATGGTGCATGGGGCTATTTGCACGTGTACGGATGTGATTGGCCTTTGCGACAAATGCAGCAGCAAATGTGAAGCTGCATATAAGGGCAATAATATTAGCGATGTATGTACTCCCAAAGAAGGCTCAACTCCATCTATGTGCGCTTGCATCCATTATTGTCCTTGTCAAAAAGGAACAACCCATGTAACTAACTAATCCAAAGTTAACTTTAAAAAAATTGAAGTTCTCTTTGCATTAGTTTTAATAATGAAATTATAATATAGTTTTACTTTTATAATTGTGTCCTTATACTTGCTACTATAAAGTAGGGCTGGCCATGGGTCGGTTTTATCGTTCAATGAATCGACCCACTTTTTTTGGTTGATAACTAGTAATTAACCGACACTTATAGTCGGGACGATAATTTTAACCGACGCCGATCGGTGGGTTTTAATTTACTCAAAAGTCGGTTGGTCGGATAATATCGGTCAATCGACTTTTTTAATAATAAAAATTTGGGTAAATTGCACTTACCCTCCCTGTGGTTTGAAGTTTTTGCAGATGACCTCCTTGTGCTAGTAATATCAGCACATAACCCCCTTGTGGTTGATAGAGGTAGCGTCCGTTAGTTTTTCCGTCAAATTTAACTACGCGTGTCAAACATCAAGGGAGTCGTCTGTAATAATTAAAGGAAACATATAAGCACAAGGGGATTATCTGCAAAATTTAGTGTTTTGACACGCGCAGTTAATTTTGTCGAAAAAACTAACGGAAGCTATCTCTATCAACTACAAGAGGTTTTATGTGCTGATATTACGAGCACAAATGAGTTATTTGCAAAAGCTTATAAGTAGGGGTGCAAGTTGGAACAGATTTTCCAATTTCCGCCGGTTCCGATCCGAAAAGTTCCGATTTTGGAACAACTTTTTTCATTCCGACTTCCAAAATTCCGATTTCCGAAATTTTCCGATTTTTTTGGATTGGAATTGGAATTATATAAAATAAATTTGGAATTTCCGATTTCCGATCCGATTTAATTCCGAAATTAATTCCGAAAAATTCCGATTTTTCCGAAAAATACACCTATAAATAGTATATATTATATAATACTTATTTTCTAAAAAATACACCTATAAGTTTTGTTTTAGGATTTTGACATAATGAATTGTTGTTAGAAGTTTTATTGGAGTTTATTTTTATTTATTTTTTAAAACTGAAATTTAGTAGTTATTAGTTTTACTTTTATCGGCGTGGATGTTCTTATTTTCGAAAAATTATGAACATTTTAGAAAATTTCGGCTACGTTTTGAAATTTTAAAGCTTATGTGATTTCCGATTTTTTTCCGAAATTTCGAAATTTTCGGGCCTTTTGGAATTGGAATGAATTTTTAGATTCCGAAATTTTTGGAATTGGAATTGGAATTGATTTTGTACTTCCGATTTTTTTTGAAAATTTTCCGAAAAGACTAATTTCGATTCGATCCATCCGACTTTCACCCCTACTTATAAGTTTATAACTACAATGGGGTCAAATACTATTTACCCTTAAAATTTATTATAAAGATCTATTCTAATTCTTATTTTCTTAATGTTAGAATTATATCCGGGTTTTGTGGAGTAAGAAATCTGTGTAATTTAAATTGTTGAATAGAAATTGATGATGCTAATTACTTAGATCACCTGGGGTAGTGTAGAAAATGAACTGGGAGAGCAAAGCGGATCAGTAGCTTGACAACTTGATGATCCTGAGGTACCTGCGATCATAGAACACGTGAACTAGGCCGGGGGTTGATCCGGCGGAAACCCCTCCGACGCTCAAGTCAGACGTGCTGATAGTGGAAATAGTCCAGAGAATACAATTAATAGTATTGCTCAGTTAATTGGACGTACCTTATGGAATGAGTTCAAATGTGTATTTATAGCTTAGTTGAGATTGTCGGGGCCCAAACCTTGCTTGAAGGTGATTCGGCCTCGGTGATAGTGGTCTTCGATATTGGGCTCGTGGCCCAGTAGGTAAATAATTTGTAGGCCCATTAGGTTGAGCCAATTAGGCATATCATTAAGCCCCCCACTCTCGAGTCGATGTGGGGGCCATGTTGAAATGGGTGACATATCGTGTCGAGAGTAAAAATTGTAGTAGTCGATGGTGTGCGATAACGCGTTGGAGCATGTGTCGGAGGGGCGTGAATGCGCATTGGTGCATAGCGCGACCAAGTTGTCGCGATGTAAGTTAATTGAGTCGTCGGTTTTGTCCCGCGACGATGTAGTAGCGAATTATCTCCTCGTGGGAGTTGTCTCGTCGCGGGTAATAGTGTTGATCGAGTTATCTCCTCGTGGGAGTTGTCTCACGATAATGTAGTAGCACGGATCAAGTAATCTCCTCGTGGGAGTTGTCTCTGGGTAATAGAGTTGATCGAGTTATGTCCTCGTGGAAGTTGTCTCACGATAATGTAGTAGCACGGAGCTAGTATTCTCCCCGTGGGTGTTGTTATTTTTCGACATTGTCAATGTTTTGACGCGTTGCTTATATGTGTTTACATATAGCCTTGTGCGTGATGTACTTGAGGAGGGGATCAGACTCTCAAGATTTTTTTTATGGGGGTCGTGCCCCTTGTTAGACCTCGTGGGTCTTAAGTATGTTTGGACCGTGGCCACGTTTTAATGAATGACCCATCGAAAACAAGTAGATAAATTTGAGTAATCAAGCTGGCCAGGCTATATAGATTCTCATAATATCTCTAAGTGCTTCTAGGGTTGTAATTGTGCTAACTTGAGCTTGCAATTATATAGTGAATTTTGGGCGAGTTGTCTCCTCATGGGAGTTGTCTCGCGGTGAGTAATATTATCGACCGAGGTGGTTGCACGTGGGAGTTGCCTTGCAACGGATTTGTAGTATCGAGCGAGTTGGCTCCTCGTGGGAGTTGTCTCGCTGCGGGTTGTGGTACCGAGCGAGTTGGCTCCTCGTGGGAGTTGTCTCGCTGCGGGTACGTAGTACCGAGCGAGTTGGCTCCTCGTGGGAGTTGCCTCGCTGCGGGTCGTAGGATGGGGCGAGTGGTCTCCTCGTAGGAGTTATCTCGCTGTGGGTTCCTAGACCCGAGGGAGTTGAC